GTGGTGAAGGAGGCGCGGGCTACATTGTTGGGGCAGGGAGTGGAGGGAGGAGGGGGAGGCTACAGAGAGAAGGGGGGGAAAGGTAAGGGAGGGGAGTGATGGGAATAATGCGGTGAGGGAAGAATAAGAGTGAGGGGGATAATGGGAGTGAAGGTAATGAGGGGAGTGAGGGAGTGGAAGGATGGAGGGGGGAACGCGCGCGCCGTCGAGGCCTTGCTGACGGAGACCGCAGTCGACGGCTGGCCGACCATCGAAGGCCAGCGGTACCGCGGCGGCCCATGAAGAGGAGAGGTGGGGAAGCAGGTAGGGAGGGAGGGGCTAGGAAGGACAAGCAAGGGGGAGGGGAGGATTAACCAGAGTAGAGGGAGGGAAAATAGATCAAGGGGGGACGAGAGAGAGAGCAGGAGAGAGAGAGAGAGAGAGAGAGAGAGAGAGAGAGAGTGGATGGCCGTGGGAGGTAAGATGATGTGGTGGCGGCCCCGACGGTTAGGGCGATGATGATGACGATGACGATGACGACGACGTGGATGATGATGATGATGATGGTGATGATGGTGATGATGGTGATGGTTGTGGTGAAGCAGATGGTCATGACGATGATGATGTTGATGGTTATGATGATGATGATGATGATGATGGTTGCGATGTCAATGCTGATGATGATACTGATATTGTTGTGAATGATGGTGATGGCAATGATGATGATATTGATGATGATGATCTTGGTCCTGGTCACCATGATGATGATGATTGCGACGATGCTGACGATGGCGATGGCTGTGCGGATGGCGATGGCGATGATGATGGTGGTGATGACGATGATGATGCTGATAATGATGATGAGCATGATCATGACGATGGTGATGATGCTGATGATGATGCGGATGGTGTCGATGACGACGATGATGATGAGGATGGTGGTGGTGGTGATGGTGATGGTGATGGTGCTGTTGACGATGACGATGGCACTGCAGGCGACGATAACAGCGATGCCGATGACGATGATGACGGTGATGACGACTGCGGTGATAGTGGTGGTGATGGCGATTTCGATGATGACGAGGATGCTAATGAGAACGATGCTGATGTTGGTGGTGATGAGGCTGTTTGCGGTTGAAGATGAAGATGACGATGTGTCGAGTGATGGTGATGATACTGGTGATGATGATAATCATGATGAAGATGATGATGCCGATGATGATGATGATGATGATGATGATGAGGATGAGGATGAGGATGAGTATGATAATAGTGATGATGTTGATGATGATGATGAGTATGATTCTGACGATGCTGACGCTGCTGGTAATGGTAATGGTGATGGTGATGAGGCTAATGCTGATGCTGATGATGAGGATGCTGGTGAGGATGAGGTGGGTGAGGAGGATGCTAGTGGCGATGGCATGCGTCGTCTGCAGCATCATCGCAGCACGGCTTCGGCATCCGACGGCCAGGGACGGATGCGGACGATGATGAGGATGAGGAACAGGAGCACGAGGAAGAGGAGGATAAGGAGGACGAGCGAGGAGGACGAGCGAGAAACTGTGGGATAACGACGGCGTCGACGACGCCAACGAGTGCATCGACGTCGGCGTCGACGGCGACAGTAACGGTGGAGGCGGGTACATGTGTCGTACTCCTCTCACGCCTCCCCCCGCTCCCCTCCCGTTCTCCTCCCACTCACTCCACTCCTCCGTAGCTCTGCCCTGCGACGTACCTGCGTCCTCTCCATCCCCGCCTACGTCAATGACATCGCCTTCGATGCCCGCATCTCCATCTCCCTCGTGAGCCCCTTGCCCCGAAGGCTCCAACGTGCCGAACTACAGCAGCTACCCCTGCGAGACGTCCGCGTCGCGCCCGCAACTTGCATGCCTGACGGACACCTTTCGGGAGTGAGGAGGAGGGAGGCGAAGCCCGGTTTCGTAGGATGATGGTGATGATGATGATGAGGAGGAGGAAGATGATGATGATGATGAGGAGGAGGAGGAGGTGGATGAGGTGAGAGGGGAGGAGAAGGGGAGGGATAGGGGGGGAGAAGGAGGAGGTGGGGGAAGGGGAGGTCAGGCCTAGCACTCGGAGGAGAATGATGATGAGCAGGATCCCGAAGTCAAGCGAGGTCACTGCTAGGGGCTAGCTAGCGGGGTTCAGAGTGAAGGTGACACTGTTGGATACGGGCGCTGGGGATGATATCCTCCTTCAATGTTCCCGCGTTCGTGGCGTGTCGTATCCTCGTGATCCCGATCCTCATCCTCCTCCTCCTCCTACTCCTACTCCTCCTGCCGCTCCTCCTCCTCCTCCTGCCGCTCCTCCTCCTCCCCCCCCTCCTCCTCATCCTCCGCATCCTCCTCTATACTGCCCCCCTCTCCCTCCCCCTGCTCGAGGCCAAGGTCCGTGTCGGACATTCGTAGTGGCGTGTGTCTTCTGGCTTCCGTATTCGATCGTCCGCGAAGCTCTTTATATTCCCATCCCGCGCGCAGAGGACTTCATCCCGACGTTGACGAATTTGGACCGCGTGGCGAACCACCTGCGCATCTCGCAGAAGACTATGGAGGCGCCAACCTCATCCTCCTCCTGCACGGTCTCCACCTCATCCTGATCACCATCATCATAAGCATAATCAGCACCCTCAGCATCATCAGCATCACCATCATCACCGCCATCAGCATCGATCATCATTATCCACATCCTCAGCCTCATCCTCATCCACATCATCTGCATCATCATCATCAATGTCAACTTCCTCGTCATCTCCTTCTCCTCCTGGTGGTATCCGTCCTGCCACCGCTACTCCTCCTCCTCCTTCTCCTCCTCCTGCTCCTCCTCCTCCTCTTCACCCCATCCTCATTCCTCCTCGCTCCCCCTGCTGCTGCTGCTGCTCCTCCTCCTCCTCCTCCTCCTCCTCCTCCTCGCTCGTCCTCCTCGCTCGTCCGCCTGCTCCCCGTCCTCCTCCTCCTCCTCCTCCTCCTCCTCTTCCCCCCCATCCTCGTCCTGCTGCTGCTGTTGCTCATCCTAGCCCGTTCCTTTTCCTGCTACTGCTGCTCCTGCTGCTGCTGCTCCTCCGCCTCCTATATCTGCTCCTACACGTCCTGCCGATGCTGCCCCCCCCCTCGCGCGTTCGCTCTCGAAAGGCTGGCTGGGACCTCGCGTGGGCTGGGCTATTCATCGAGCAGTACAAGCAGCAGAAGGGCCGCAAGCCGACAGCGATGATCATCAAAGGATACAGGCGCTAGAGTGTTTGCCAGGGAAGAATGGCAGGGGAATGAGGAAGAGGATGGAGAGGAAGAGGGGTAGACAACTGAAATGGAGAGTGGACAGGGTACGGCACGGAACGGGGGGGGGAGAGGAGAGGAGGAGAGGAGGGGGCTGGAGAAGGAAGGGAAGGGGAGGGGAGGGAGGGCTTGGCAAAGGGAGGGGACGGGACGGAAGCTGTTGGTAGGGGGCGCGAGGAAGGGTCCCACCGTACGTTGTGTTCTATGTTATGTATTGCGATTGCGACTGCACTTCGTCGTAGTGTGTGTCGTCCCGCCTCAGGGAGACTCCCTACCCTACCCCTCATGAGACGTCCTACCCGCCCCCCCCCCCGCTCCCGCCTGATCGGAGGTTCGTGAATTGCCGTTCATTGAGAATTATGCTGGCACACTGGCAAAGGGACCAGGCCGCCAACGTGATCGAGTCCAGCAGTCGCTACGAAGAATCAGAGCAGGACTGGGCTTGCTTGTTTTCCGTGCTGGTTCTGTTCGGTGGAGGTGTCATGGGATGTTCAAGTAGTTTGAGGATGGGTAGCGATAAGGATCGGGGAGGTATAATGGACGGAGAAGCTGAATGAGGAAGGAAGGAGGGAGAAAAGAGCAGGGCGCGGAACAAGAGGAGCGATGAGGCAAATCAGGGAGGACGGAAAAAGGGAGGGGAACGGAGGAGAGAGGAGAGGTATCGATATAATAAGTGGAACGGAGGATGAACAAGGTATAATGGGGAGGATGGGGAAGGGAGTGGGCACGAGGAGGGAGTGGAACAACGGAGGGAGGAGGGAGGATACAGAGAGAGGGATGGGGGAGAGAGGGAGAGAGAGAGAGAGAGAGAGAGAGAGAGAGAGAGAGAGCTCTGAATTCATATGTGTATATACAGAGAGACCCAACTTGATCTAGCTATATATATATATATACATATATATAGATGCTCGTAAACATCTCTATATATAAGATTTATAGCCATACCGATGGCTGCGGACCGCCAGGACGACGACGACTTCGACGACGTGACCACCGACGAGCTCGACCGCTACTTCAAGATGATGAAGGGAGAGGACTGCGTGCCCTCGCCTGCCACTGGCTGGGCGCGAGCTGCGACCAATTGCCTATCTGGGGTGGGCGCGGTGCGCGACGGGTCGTCGCCTGCGCCGTGGCTGCCCTGGACTGGCCAATGGTGCGGTTCGTGCTTCACGGGACTAGGTTGGTTTCCGTCCCGTCGGATGCTAGACCTTGGTCGGCTAGATTCCGTCTCGTCGGATGCTACACCTTGATCGTGCAGACCTCTGTCTCTCTCTCTCTCTCTCTCTCTCTCTCTCTCTCTCTCTCTCGCTCTCTCTCCCCCCTCCCTCGTTCTCACACCACCCTCCTCCGCTGGTTTATCTCTCTCCCACTCCACCTCCCCCTTGCCCGTCCCCTCTCCCGCTCGCCTGTCTCTCATCTGCTCCTCTCACCGTCGCCCTGCTCCTTCACCCCTCTCCCACTTGCATGCCCCTCTTCCGCCAACTTCACCTCCCCTTCACCATCCCCTCACCCCCCCTCTCCATCCGGTATATTCCTTCTCCGCCCCTTCTCTTTCCCCCACCCCCTTCCGCCGTCGCTATCACAATCATCGCATCATGCGTAGAGGACCCTGGGCCAGAGACTGGTGCTGAGGACGGATCCGCGGAAGCGGCATGTGACCAGGACGAGCCACTAGCGGCGACAGCCTCAGAGGGGTCGGCGGCGGCGGCGGCCTCGGCAGCGCATGATGCCATGAGCCTGCCATTCATGGCAAGCCTGCTGGGCCGCCGCGCTCAGAGGAAGGCCAAGAAGGCCAAGAAGGCCAAAAAGGCGGCGGCCCCGACGACGAAGCAGGAGGAGGGCCACCTGGCCGAGGGCGCGACAGCCCCGTCGCCCTGGAAGGCAGCGGCACCACCGATGAAGAAGCCGAGGAGCAAGAAAAGGCCTGCCGCTGCCCCGAAGGCGAAAGGAAAAGCTAAGGCCAAAGCTGCAGCCACGTCCACGCCACCAGCTGCAGCGAAGGCCCAGCTCAAGCCCAAGGAGCCTGGGCCTAAGGAGGACGAGGAGGACGAGGAGGACGAGGAGGACGCGGATCCGCATGAGGACGAGGACGAGGACGAGCAGGGCGAGGAGGAGGAGAAGGAGGAAGATCCAGAGGTCGAGCTCCAGGAGGTTCCAGAGGAGCCCGCAGCAGCGGGTGAGGAGCCCGCAGCAGCGGGCGCCCCCGTGCACACGGGGGAGATCGTGTGGCCGCCGCCAGATACTCACGGAGGGATCTATAGCTACGACGTCGACGGCGGCCGCACGTGCACCATCAAGATGAAGCGCCGCCAGAGTGAGCGCATAAGCACAATATACTTCAGGGTCGTCCCAGGGGACGGCTGGAAACAACTCATCCAGGTCACGGACAAGAGCATGACGTCGGCCATGGTGCAGCAGCTCGAGGTCACCAACAGCGCTGAGGCGGCCGACGCGACGATACGGTACCTGTTCAACAAAATGTGCGACGGCAAGATCGCAGCAGGCAACGTCGGCGCGATTAAGGAGCATGCGAAGGTGTATAGGGATCAGGCGTACACCGAGCTCGGGCTGGCCTGCTGACACATAGTCAGGGGAGGGAGTCGGATTGATGAGGATACATAGGGGGTATAAGGCGATGGGTGGGGAAGGCTGGATGCGCGATGATACCAAGCCTCGTGATCTCGAGCAAAAGGAGGGGGTGGACGACGAGGAAGAGGATGATGATGATGATGAGGAGGAGGAGGAGGAGGAGGAGGAGGAGGAGGGGGGGGAGGGGAGAGGGGGAGGAGGAGGAGGGGAGGAGGATGAGGAGGAAGGAGGGGAGCGGAGGAGGAGGCGGAAGATGAGATGAGGAAATGAGGAAAAGGAGGCGTTCACTGCTGCCCGTGTCCTGGTGGGGTCGAGGTCCACGAGACATTCCAGATCCACTGCTGGATCGTCGATTGGCGCTGGGCTGGGAGGCTGTGGATTTGCACTAGGGGATGTGGGAGGTGTTCGACCATCATCCAAATATCCCTCTCTCTCACCCTCCCGCCTATTCATCCCTCTCCCCCGTCAGTTCTGCGAGCGAGCCTACGGTAGGCGTTGAGAGGCAGATCGCATTGAGGCGGATTGGATGAGGAGGGGGAGGAGGATGCGGAGGAGGAGGAGGAGACACTAGCTCGAATGTCTGGCCCGATTTCGGGATAAACCATTCTGAGTCACCATGGCCTCTCTGGCAGTCAGCAGGGTGCGAAGTTGCGGCACCCTGTGGCCCTGAGCAGGATCAGACGATGACGCCCATGCGAGGAGGATCGGGAGGGCAAGATGCGGGTGCGCATAAACAAGTGCTGCGAGGCTGGCTATTTCGTGGGCGAGCCTACCAACGAGAAGGCTATTTCGTGAGGGAGCCTACCAAGAAGGCTATTTCGTGAGCGAGCCTACCAACAAGAAGATTGGTTATTGGCACGCTGTGGGAGGCGACTCTGGGTCGTCGTCGGTGTCGTCGTCGCCGTCGCCGTCGTCGTTCTCTACAGGATGCATGTCTCAACGATTGTTCCAGCCTTTCTCGCCCCCCCCCCCCCTCCCAAATGTTACAAGTGTTCGCGCCCCGTCCCGTGATGCACACCAGCATGCCATCCCTTCCCCATGACCCCCCCATTGACTCTCCATCCCCCGTCGTAGTCAGAGAACTCCCATACCGATCTCCCGATCCTCCAATCCATCGCGATTGCCAGGTGACGGCCTGAGAGCAGCCATCGAGGTGAACACTGACCAGCTCAGGGGAGGGCCCTGCGCGCTGCCATTCCTTTTCGAGGAAAAGGTGGGAGCGTCCCTGGGAGGAGGTGTGACGAACTGTGAGGAGCATCACAGGGATAGGATGAGCTAGGGGACCCAGGAGGACGGCATGGATGAGCATCAGGCGCACGCCCTCGAGCGATCGGGTGAGGAGGAGGATCAGATGTTCAGATACGTAAGAACCAGGGCGAGGAGGAGGAGGAGGAGGAGTAAGAAGAAGATGAGGGTCGGATGAGGACCAGAATAGGGGGGCAGCACCTAGAATACCCTCGGGGAGGAGGGCCAGATGAGTCGATGGCGGCAAATCTAACAAGACCCTCGGGGACCCTCTGATCTAGGACCGCCCTCGAGAGTACAGATTCGATCGAGGCTTACCTTGGTCCGTGGTCGAGGGGGCACCCCTACCAAGCTCGATGGCAGCATGTTCCAATTGACACTCGGCCTCCTCAATCCGATCCGTCCATCCTTACCTCGCACTACTGGTGCAAGGGCCCGCACGGCGTGTGACCATATGCATTGCGGACGGGTGCACCATGCATTGATCTGCATGTCAGTTTCTCTTGCCTGTGCGACAGCTCGACGTCCAGTGCTGACTGCTCGAGCTGTTTGTCTAGCTGTCGGGCGAGCCCCTGCCCGAGGGGGGCACTGGCCGCAGGCGAGCGGGGAGATCGCAGTCCACGGGGGGGATCTATGGTGCTAGATGCCGAGCAACAGAAATGTGATGCAACTAATGGGCGCGCGCATACACGCGCAAGCGTGCGATACATACGCAGATGCACACGTTCAGAGTTGCAGTATTGTGCATGTATGCGTGCATGCGTGTGCAGGTATGCGCAGATATGTGTGGTTTCGTGCGCACGCTGCACATTACAGCACACTGAATACATATATGTATATATACATATACACATATAGATATAGATACGCACTTGTGCACGCACGTGTGTCTATGTATGTACGTATGCGGTTTGTGCGTTGTGTCTCTGGCTGCCATGTTGAGCGAACCATGCGCGTAGAACCACGCGGGTTGGTTCGCTGTGCTCAGGCATACGCACAGACACCGTTGCATCCAGGACAGCCTTCAGTTACATCCGACACACTGTTGGACATCGTGCTTGGTAACACAGGGCGAACACATCGTAGCACGTATACGCATGCACATGTACACGCGTGTAGACACTCGCGCGTAAACGCATGCGCGCGCACACGAATGCACTGCGGATGCGTGGGTCCAGAACCCAAACACAACAACGCTTAAACGCAAGCGTTGCCATGCGCAAACGCCCAGCCATGACAGGAGCAACATGCCAACCATGACATGGACAATCGACCCCTGACAGGGACAACCAAACACGCCCTGGCAGGAACACCTACCAGTCCATGACAGAACCACTAACAACACATACCATATGCTGAACAGGGGGGCACTGCGGCTAAACCCAACAACGGCGAGACCCCACGAAATCACAATACCCTGAACTTAGCACCCGCAATCCCTAAGACCAACCACCATGCGACCCAAAGCCCCACATACACATGCGCCCTCTTCCTCTTGCGCACAAGGACACCAAAACCATAACCACCCGACTGAAGCCCATTGTGCCCTGCTAGCACTAAACCCTGGAACCTTATGCACTCGGACACGACGGCGCGGAGACCACCCTGATGCCCAATACCCTAGAACCCATGCGGCCCGAAGTCCGTAGGACCCTACACCACACTCGTAAACCCATGACCTAAGCCACCCGCACCTTAAAACCCTGCGTAAAAAAAAAAACATGTTTGTCCGACCACCCTGACACGCCTATATGTACGTCCCGTGCGTGCGCGCGCGGGAAGAGAGAGGGCGGGCTGGATCGGGCGGGGGGGGGGGGGGGGGGGGGGGGGGGCGGACCAGCAAGGACAGGAAGGAGTGCGCGCAAGCGCAGAGTGGCGGGAGGCAGCGAGCAGCGAGCAGCGGAGGAGAGAGCTTGCCGCCCAGGTGCACCTGGGCGACACGGCATGCTGGACATGACATTGTGGATCGGCGGCATGACTTACTTTGCGGCACGTTGGACATGACGGACGTAAGTGGACAGGGGGGGCACACCCCGCCCCCCAACCTGAACCCAAACCCAGAACATACCGAGCGGGGCCGCGGGCGGGGTTAGGAGGTTTGGAGGTGCCACCGCGCCCTCCACCCCCGCCCCCCACACCCCCCCCTCCCACCCCCACACCCCCACCCCACGCTCGATTGTTGCGCGGGCCCCCCCGACCCCGCCCACCTCCCCTCACCCCCTTAGCTACAGTGGCCCAGTCGACCCCCTCGGGACATCGAGCACCCTGAATGCACACCGAAAATACCCAGACCCCGCCCCAACCACCCCCCCGAGACCGCCCCGACGACGCCCAGCCCCCTAGAACCCGCACACGAGAACCCCCAGCGCGCCCCCGCACATACCCAGAGCCCGTCCCAGACCACCCCAACCCGCCCCGATGAGGCCCAGCCCCCCAAAACCTGCGCCCGAGCGCCCTCAACGCGCACCCTGAAATAACCCGAACCCACCCCACCAGTCCCCCATCCGACCCGACGTCCCCCCGATGCGCTCGACTGCGTCTTGGTGATGCTCTTCCGCTGTCGCGGCGCGTTTCTCATGGTTGCTACGTGCGTCTTGTTTTCTAACGTTTTCTAACGTTTTCTAATGTTTTTCTTGTTTTTCTTGTTTTCTAACGTTTTCTAACGTTTTCTATGTAACGTTTTTCTTGTTTTTAACGTTTTTATTGTTTTCTAACGTTTTCTATGTAACGTTTTCTAACGTTTTTCTTGTTTTTCTTGTTTTCTAACGTTTTTCTTGTTTTTAACGTTTTTATTGTTTTCTAACGTTTTCTAATGTTTTCTATGTAACGTTTTCTAACGTTTTTCTTGTTTTTCTTGTTTTCTAAAGTTTTCTAACGTTTTCTATGTAACGTTTTCTAACGTTTTCTAACGTTTTTCTTGTTTTTCTTGTTTCATAACGTTTTCTAGCGTTTTCTAACGTTTTCTAATGTTTTCTAACGTTTTCTAACGTTTTCTAACGTTTTCTATGCCACGCGCGCCCTACCCCGCCCTCCGCGGGCGCTCGGGAAGGGCGTCGACGCCGCCGCAGGGGGCGCGGTGGGGGCGCTCAAGGGGTCCAAAGCGGTCCGCGGGCCACCGCGAGTGCGACCGCGCCTTGGCACCGCGCTCACGGGGCGGTCGCGGAGGGCGTCGAACCCTCCCGCCCCGCCACCTGCGCGATCGCGCGATGCACACCGCGGGGCACCTGATGCCCCGCCAGGCTATCGACCCCTGACGGATGCCCGCGGGACAATTCACCTACTGCTTGACCACCCGCGCGGCCCCCTGCCAACCCCCCCCAGGGCCCATGGCCCTAGGCCAGCCGCGCCAATCCCCCTCGAGGCGTATACACGTGACCCCAACCAGTCCCCTGCGCGCGCACTGCGCCTTGGATGCACGGCGCTGGCCCCCGCGCCGCCCCCGCAACGCTGCAGGCTCGCGGACCCATGTCTGAATATGTGTATATATATATATATGTATATATATATATATGTATACATACAAACATACACGTACACGCAGCACGGCGCCCTCAGGTGAAATATGACGTGGGGGGATAGGTGAGGGAGGGGGCGCGGTGGGTGACAACGGTTCCGCGTGAGATACCCCCTCCCATGCCCAGGGTTCCCCAACCCCCATCTCGAACCCGCCCTAAGGGGGGACCCCCATATACCATCACCTGTCATGCGCGCGCGTGCTTCGTATGGTTGGCCATTGCGCCGTGCGT